AATTTTAAATATTAAATTAAGAAAAATTTTTTTTTTGAAAAAATTAATTTCAACAACAGCAACAACAACAACAACAAGAACAACAGCAACAGCAGCAGAAGCAACCACCTAAATTGTTTTGTTTTGTTTGTTTGGTTTTTATTTTATTGAGTTTGAAAATTTTTACGTTCCAGACGTTCGTTTTTTTTTTTTTTAAAAAACCAAATAATAATTATTATTATCATCGCCATAATTTTTTTTTTTTTTACGAAATAATAATGATGATGATAATAATAATAATAATAATAATAATAATAATAATGATAATAATAATAATAATAATAAAATAAACGACGTTGAAAAAATTTTTTTTCGTTTCTCTCTAAAAAAAAAATTTAATTCGCTAGAATAGAATGCCATTTTTTTTCTTTCTTTTTTTTTCGAGGGGGGTGAGGTTTGTGGGCGGGGGTAAAACAATTTTTTATTTTAACGTTTTTTATTATTATTATTATTAAATTTCAAGATTTTCGAAATCGAATCCTGAAATTCAATTTTCAACGTCATAAATTTTCCTTTTTTTAATTGATTTAAATTGATAAAAAATAAAAAAATAAATAATAAAAATCTCAAAAGTTTTTTATAAAATTTATTATTAATATTATTATTATTATTATTATTATTATTATTATCATTATTATCATTATCATTATTATTATTATTATCATTTAAATAATTATTCTTCTTTTTTTATTTTTCATTTGTTTTTTTTATCTTGAAAAAATATTTTTCTTATTCTTTTTTTTTGTTTTTTCTCGAAGGAACTCGAGGTTGAAAAATGTTTTTAGAAAAGGTTAAAGATTACCAACCCTCCCGACACACCTTTCTCCCTCAATTTCCTTCTTTTTTTTTTTTTAAACTTTTTCTTTTATTATTATTATCATTATTATAACTTCACTTTATTTTTTATTTTTTTAACCGGGAAAGTGAAGAATTTCTTTTCTTTTTTTTTTTAATCTGCTGGAGAAGAAAAAAATAATCATCATCATTATTTTTATTTTTTTTTTTTTTTACGAAAAGAAAAGAAAAAACGTTAATGATTAGTTCATTTGTTGTGACTATAATCCCTTATCAACATAAAAAAAATTTTCTTTTCTTTTTGTCATTTTTCACGTGGGGGGGCTGTTTTATATTTTTTTATAAATAAATTTTCCAGTCGCGTTTTCGTTAAACGCGCCGGAAAAACATTTAAAAAGAAAAGCGGGAAAATTTTTATTTATTTATTCGTTATCGACCACGATCGAATTTTAAAAGTTTCTCGTAAGTTAAACATGTAATTTAATACAAAATCCTTACGGCCACGCATTCACATCCGGTTCAACGTTTATCATCTCTATGAAATTTTTTATTTAATTACGGATATGCGATTCGTCATTGTTTTTCTTTTTGTTTTTTTAACAAGAAAAATTCGATGTTACAAAAAAAATTTTTTTAGATCGACATTACGAAAAAAAAAACCGTTAAATAATAATAATAATGATGATGATGATGATAATAAAATTATTCTTACATAAAAAAACTTTTTTAATTTTCTCTTTGTAAATCAATTTATCGGTTAAAAGTTTCATAATAATAATTTTTTTTAATAAAGTCTTGAACACACGACCGCCATTTTATTTGTTTATCGATTATTATTAATTTTTAAAATTAAATTTAAAGTTTGTAATTTCCCCCCCCCCCCTCCCCAATTTATTTATTGATTTTTTACAAATATTGTTTTACCGGAAAAGGAAATTTTCTAGATGAGGAAAGAAAAAAAAAAAAAGGAAAGGAAAGGAAAAAATTCAAGTACTTGGCTTTATGTATATTTTTAAGAATTTTAAAAAATTTTTTAAAAAAAGCGCGCCAACCGGAAGTTAAAAAAAAAAAAGAGAGAGAGAAAGTGTGTGTGTGTGTGTGTGTGTGTTTGTGAAATAAATAATGACGTAAAATAAAAATAAAAAAAAATTTTTTTTTTGGATAAATATACGAACGTTAACGCGATACACACACGTTTTTAACGTTTTCCTTTGAATTTTTTTTATTTCTTCCTTTGAGTTTTTTTTTCCTTTGAATTTCCTTTTTTTTCAATCCATATAATAAATAGCGTAAAAAATTGAATAAATTAAATTTTTATCCTCCTTTCTTTTTTTTCTTTTTTCAAAAAACTTTTTCATCTCTTCATTTGATACAATCAACATTTAATCCTTTTTAATAAATAAAAATAAAAATTTTTTCTTTCTTTCATCATCATCATCATCATCATCCTCTCTCTTCCTTCTTCCGTCTTTCTTCTTGTTTTCGATAATAATAATAATAATAATAATAATAATAATAATAATAATGGAAAATTTCCATTTTTTTCTTTCTAGACTATAGCAACCGGAATGTGGACGATTATGGAAGTCATACTTTTAGGAAGCATAATTTTATATTCAACCGTAAGTTATTCGATCCAAAATTAATCCGATGACGTCATAATATTATTAATAATAATAATAATAATAATAATAATAATAATAATTCTCTCTAATTTCTCTTCGATAACAGATAATCCTAAGAGCGTTTAATCCTTCGACGATTCTTTGTCTTATCGAACCTTGGTGTAGAGAAATCGGTTTTGTTTTATGTTACGGTGCGATCATATTAAAACTTTACAGGTAACAAAAAAAAATTAAAAAAACGTGGCAAAAGAAAGACGAAAAAAAAAAAAAATTAAAAACGTGGCAAAAGAAAGATGGGGAAAAAAAATTTTTATTTTTTTTTTAGAATATTAATTGAATTTCGTACGAGGAAAGCACACAGATGGGTGATAAGAGATAAGGATTTATTAAAATATTTATTCGGTATGGTCATCGTCGTTTTCGGGTACATGTCCGCATGGACGGCCATCAATTTAAATTTTATAAAAAAAGAAAATTTCAGTTTGCTCACGACGGGCACGACACTCGACGGCACTCAATTCGAATCGTGTAAATCCGCTTGGTGGGATTACGTAACGGAAACAAGTAATACTGACGTCACGTTTTCCCCCCCTCTTCCCCCCCAATCCCTCCCCCCGTAATTTTGTCGCCGCCGCCGCCGAGATGACGATGATTATTATTATTATTATTAAAATTTTTTTCCAGGTGAAATATTGATATTAATTTTTGGAATACATTTAAGTTACGCGTCGAGAAATGCGACGACTCAATTTCGCGAACGTTGTTTCCTTTGCATAGCCATTACTTTGGAAGCTTTCGTTAGCGGAATTTTCTACGTTCTTCGGTATTTCTATTGGGAAACGGCCGTACATCCGGATACGAGTTTCCTAGCAAATTTCACGCGTTGCCAACTTACGACAACGATCGTTCTCTTCCTTCTGTTCGCGCCAAAAGTTAGTACTCAAATTCTTTTTTGTTTTGAGTTTATTTCCTATCTCTCTCTCTCTCTCTCTCTCTCTCTCTCTCTATCTCTATCTATCTACCTATCTATCAATCTATCTATCACTCTCTCTCTCTCTCTATCTATCTATCTATCTATCTATCTATCACTCTCTTTATATCACTCGCTCTATCACTCTCTTTCTCTCTATCACTCTCACTCTCTCTCACTCTCTTTCTCTCTATCACTCTCTCTTTCTCTCTATCACTCTCTCTTTCTCTCTTTCTCTCTCTCTCTCTCTCTCTCTCTCTCTCTCTCTCTCTCTCTCTCT